ATGCCATGTTAATGGTTAAATGCAGAATGGCATTTCTATAAGTCATAGATTCTCTTAGTAGAACAAAAATTCCTTATATCGTTTGTATTGTATATCCAGTGGTTCGCAGCTTGTGTCAGCAAGTGAGGATGGTTCTGTAAGATTGTGGGACTTGAAGCAGGAGGCACACACAAACACTGTACAGCCGTACCTGAGTGACAAATTGGCACGGCCAGAACTGGGAAAGTGGATCGGTGCTGCATCCTTAAGTGAAGATTGGTTGGTAAGAGGATTCAGTTGATGACACAATAGCAGTGACAGTAGAATATGCAGTCTCTTGTAACTGATGAATAGTTGTGCATTCTGTGCAGTACTGTTATAATAAAACAAAGAACAAAAGTAGTTATTTCTATAATAATTATAATTATTTTAATGCAGTAAGAACAGGAAGTGCCATGCCATGAAACTAGAACCATGCCATACTTGTGGCTACAAACTTCAAACTGAAGTTATGTTTTAGTCTGTGGTGTTTCGTATTACCACAATGAGAAGGATCCTGAAAGGTTTATGTGCAAGTCTCTTTTACTTATTAATGGCTATTTCTTCAAAAACAATTTACTACATCAGAGAACTGTAACAAAATGTTTACGTCACTTAATTCTTCTATAATTTGTATGGTATTAAATGACATAATCATAAAGTTGGTTTTCTGTCCTGAGTAAAGTTGTTGCTATGATTGGCTGTTGATGCTCAATATTATAATTACTTGCATTGATGAATTAATTGAAATATTAGGTTTCTGAAAAATTTGTAAATATACATAATACTTTCTAAAAGTTTTAATTTTGGATGTTATCTAAATTGTCAAATGGACCAGGCTACATTTTGTTGGTAAAGTTTGTCAAGGGCCAACAGTATTAAATGTAATGAAAGTTTGTTCAGTCCGAACAAGATTATTCATGTGTGCAGGCAGCAATGGCAATTAAGAAATTTCTTCAAATGTCTGACTCATTCACCATAAAGTGTGAGGTTAGGTTAAAATTGACGTATTCTGATATCTCTATTGAATATACTCAATTGAGAAGTAACTAGTGTATTTGTAATCTTTTTATGTTCTATTCAGTCTTATACTACGATTTTCTTTCCTCTTTCTTTGCATTGAATGTTTTATTTCTTACTTTAGTGTTTATTAGCAGTACGTAAAGTGAGGGCATATAGGACTGAACCCAATAATGCTTCAGATTAGAGAAAATTAAATAATCCCATTTATTTATTTCCCTTTAATTCATATTTCAGGCCTAATTTATTGGCCTGCCTTGAAGCTGGGTTACAACATACATTTCAACCTTTATCAGCAAACAGTTTAAGTATGTTTACTATAGCAATATTTTTCTCACCTTTCCAAATAATTGTCAACTCAAAGGACTGTGAAGCTTTGAACCACAAAACTGTGAACATAGATTAGTAGTGCTACTGTATTTGTTTTCTGTTTGTGATGATTGAATGAGGATTGCCCACTGATGCACAAATCAGATTTGTGGAATAGGTGACGGCTCTCTTCTGGGTCATTGCGCCATCCAGTCTGGTAGAAATTTACTGATGTTTCAGAAACCCTCAAATCCTACTTGTGGAATAGGTGTTTGGGCCTTTGCTGTGTTCATGAGTTGGGTATCAAATTAGAATGAGTTACCTTTAATTGTGTGCGCTGTCTTACATATATTTGTAACCTGATCCCCATTTAGTCAAATTCTTTCTTCTGTCAGAAGCTGCTATATGCATATTAATGTCAGAGGGATTTTATTATGAATTAATTTCAGTTGTGTGGTGGAGGACCAAGACTTTCATTGTGGCATCTTCGATCACTAGATGTTACAACAGCCTTTCAGTTGGATGATTCTGGCATCCATGTAGCCATGTTCTATGATGATCGCATCATGGCAGGAGGAGCCAGTCCATACTTCTATAATCTCAGTTATACAGGAGATACCTATGCACAAATTCCATCTTCTTCTATATCAGTTTATACTGCAGTGTTTCAAGAAACCCCACTCAAGGTAAATTCAGTTCAATAAACTTCAACTTGGAAAATATTTTGCAGCATTTTCTTGTCAATTAATCTCACTTAGTAACTGTATGAAATTTCAGATTGACTTTACCCTCTTGAGTTTCAATACATATAACCTTCAGTGTGCCATAATTAAAAATGGAAGTGGAGGAAGTTTTTGGAAGTCTCCTGCTATTATACATGCTTTACACAGTGTGTAGTAATTCATTCAGTAATAAAGTTAGTCGATACTCCTTTGCAGATTGATGTGCAAAACTTAGGCCACCTCAGAGAAGTGTTCTGTGCACACATCTGTGACTGCCTTGTGTGTTCAGTTTCTAGGCATGTTCACAACAGAAAATTTCAGAAGTGGTTGTTAGATTCACTGTGTATGTCTGCCCGTTTCTCTACTTATAATAACTCAAGATCCACTTAACAGATTTTAATGACATTTGATATTATCAACTTTACTAAAATTTGTTGACACATTCCAATTATGGGTAGAGCTGAAGATATACATATTTCAGCACACATCTTGAGCATAACTCACTAATTATTGTTCAGACTGAAAAATATTTTGAAAAGAAGTTTAGAGAAACATTAAAAACACATGTTATGTCTGATATACTTTTTCTGTAAGTCATACAGTTGTCAATATAATGACATAAAAGAGGTTGGGCTGATTTTGGTCAGATTGGAAATTGATGGTGCTTGCTTACTGGCACTGCCTATTTTACATCAAAAGTCAGTAATTACAGATTGGAAATCTAGAGGCAGTAATGAGGGAACACGCCAGAAATGTTACACTGCGCATACATTTCCTAATGTTTAATTTTACAGTTTGAATGTGCTCTCTGTTAGAATTGGTGTATGAATGCATTTCACTTCTAAGGAAGTAACAAATAGAAAACTGTATTTACTTTTTGGCCCTCTGAAGGTAAACCTATCTTTGTGCTTAAGCACTTCATCGTGAAGTTGAGACAAAGGTGGAAGAGACTATTTTACCCTTGGAGAAAGAGCGCAATGGATTGAAAGCAAAGTGGGCTCCAGGGCCAGTCTATTTTTGGTGGCAAGGAGAATAAGAAAAGCTTAAACTTTCTTTGAAGTTCTGTTGCACTTGTTAACAGAATTTTTCCATTGATAAATTAAATGTTCCATGACATTGTTATTTGAATTCATGTTCACATAGATGTTTATAATGATGACAGTGGTTGTATTTAGAATGACAGTTATAAAAGAGATTCATGCCAACAGATTTTGAGATGCACTGAAAGGTAATAATTTATTTTATGTAATTACAGGTAATGTGTATGGCTGGTTCCAGTTGTAAGATAGATCTATGTACGAACTTCAGTTACCGTGATCAGATTCTTACATTTGCCTCTTGACATAATTCTATTGGAAGATATGCTGTCCCTATACGTACTTTTGTCATGAGAATGTGTTATTTACCTACTTGAAATAAAGTACAATGAAACTCATTGCTTAATGTCTCTTCATATTGAGTGTGCTGCCAGTTTCTCCTTTGTCCGCTCTTCTCATATCCATATATGTCTACAAATGAAGATGGCTGGCTGTCTTCTGGATTGTTGCGCCATGTAGTCTAGTAGAAGTTTATCGATCTTTCAGATGTACATGATGCTTCCATCATTAGGGTGATCACCTTGGAAGCTGGAGGTAGCAAGTACCTTTTAATTATTGGTAAACTTTTACTAACAACCTAGAAAATGGTCATCTTCATACATGCTGCTGTGAGAACCTCAAATCAAATTTTTTTCTACAAATGTACATATTATAAATTAAAATGTTCTGAGGAAACAGACTTTCAAAACTGAATACACACAATATGATAAAAGCATTTTATGAATGTATATCATTGCTAGTAAAATAATATGCTTTATGTTTAATATTGTCAGCATTTAAAATTAATAACGCTGTTAGTGTCACAGTATGCTGTTCTCAGAAATTTACTAGAGTACTGATGAAATAAATTTGGCCACGCAATTTTAAACCCTCGGATTGGCAAGAGGTAAGAAGTCAGCTTCATTCTTGTCATATCCCAGGTTATAGTGAGTCACATAGTCACTAAGCTTTTAAGAGGAAACTGCTCTTAACATTGAAACAAAAAGGTACATGGCTTTGCAGTGGCAATGAAATTATGAGTTAACTATGAAAATTACATGCTTTGTAGATTAGTCACCAATTTTAAGAGCATTCTTTGTACAAGACGAGTAATTCTGTACTTACAGGAATTTGGTCTTCTTTCTTCATATTGAATAACATGAATAAAATCTGAAATAGTTGAAGTAAACTGACAGAAATTCTACATATGCCTATATATTTTATAGAAGAATTAAGCTACCAAATTTAGTGAAAACTATTGGAATTAAGGTGACCATAATCAATGCAGCCACATTTTCAGGCTTATGAACTGAAATAAAAAATATGGCCAGTATGTGAATAAAAAAACAACTAGCCTCGTGCATAAGCACCACACCATGAAGACATGGCAGATTGAATTTAAAGCTCCAGACATTCTTAAACTCAACACTAGATGGAGGTGAGTAGTCAGCTTTCTGCTCCAGCTGCTTTATACCAAGAAAAGGAACCCACAGCACCTCTTAATTAGGAGGTTGGATGGACCCTAGAGCTAGCCTGGATGTTGTGGCAAAAAGAAAATTTCCTGCCCCTGTCACAAATTGAACTCATACAGGTCATAGCCAGTCACTTTATATACACAGTTGTAAGATATGTATTATTAATTGCTTTAAATATGTTTTGTTCCTTACCCTCAGATATTCCCACAAACCAGTGGTAATGAGATTTGTGAAAAAACTGCCAGCTTTAGTATCCTTATGTTTGTATACCAAATTAAAATGCATTTAATGCACTATGGAAAAGTACTATTAAAAATTTAACATTGTTTACTGATAGATCCATTATTAATAACTTAATTCTGTTCAGTATACCTACATTTTCTTATAATATTAAGCCACCTATCCAAAGGTGATTTTACTTAGGCTTGTATTTAATTTTGAATTAAACTATTGTATGGTTAATATGACAAGGATGATTATTAGCTGTCCTTCTGAAGTACATTTATTTTCACTGAAGGTTAATGAAGAATTAGAAACAGAACATTTTTTCATTTTGAATTAAAAATTTTTACTCATAAGTGGATCAAAATCATCCTTACTACACTGGTCTCAAAATAGGAAACTAAAATTGTCCTGTAGAATCCTTCTGTATGGAGAAAATGTAAGTTTGGAGAAAGAAAAAATACATTTTTAAATAGTTGCTTAAAGTCTAAACATAAAATTATACTTCATCCAAAAAGAACTCTATAGACTGGAATTTCCATGTGCAATGTTTGACAGCAAAGTCAAAGTTTGAGGGAGTTTTAACTTTTCCCTAAGAGTTGCAGGGGAGCTTTCAATTGTTTAGAAACTATATACAGGAGGATTTTCATGACGTGGCTAAAAGGCAGAACTGGATTAGTGTAGGTAAAACTGTTAACAGTTAAGACAATACAATATTTAACCTTTACTGTACAGGAACATTTTATCTAAACCCTGTACAATGAGACTACCAACTGAACTTTAACCCCATGGTTAACATTTTACCAGTATGCTTGTGTAATGCACATAAAGCTGGACTGTGTATAAGACTAATACATGCATGACAGAGGTTAAAGAAATATAATAATAATAATTACTGTATGTGTATAAGTAACACTAATTATTACTGAGCAATATAAAGATAATGTTACATTTTCGTCCAGTTCAAAATATTTTGTCTTCTCGTCTCATTTCTAAGAACCTAAAGATTAAAATACACAAAACAATAATTTTGCCTGTTGTTCTGTATGGATGTTAAACATGGTCTCTCACTCTGAGGGAGGAACACAGATTGCAGGTGTTTTTGATGACGGTGTTGAGGAGGATATTTAGGCCTAGGAGAGAAGAAGATGGGGTCTGGAGAAAACTGCATAATGATGATCTTAACAATTTGTACTCCACGCCCAACACTGTCAGGGTGATTAAGTCAAGGAGAATGAGATGGGCGGGGCATGTGGTGCACATGGATGTGGTAAGAGGTGTGCACCAGGTATTGGTCGGGAAGCCTGAGGGGAAGAGACTGCTGGGGAGACCTAGATGTAGATGGGAGGATAATATCAAGTGGGATCTATAGGAGTTGAAGACGATTGGATTTTTCTGGCCCAGGACAGGGTCCAGTGGAGGGCTTTGGTTAATTCGGTGATGAACCTTCGGGTTCGGTAAGCCATCTAGTTAGTTAGTTAGTAATGGAACCTAAAGCTTCACTGCCGTGTCACAACCCGTCATAAGAATGAGGTCCACATCTTTTCTTTATCCTGAGAAATTATCTCCAACCACCTGTACTCTACCCCTCTTGGGTCCAAGTATTCTTCATGGTTCCTGTTCTCAAACACACTTGTCTGAATTCTTCCCTTAACATTAGAAACCAAGTTTCAGACCCATACAAAGCAACAAGTCAAATTATAGTTGTGCATATTTTAATCTTGACATGACCAGAAAAAATATTTGAACTGCATGGTCCGAATTTATCTATTCTTAATTTCTTCGTGAATTCAACTTTTATTGGTTGCCAGAACTCCAAAATTTCTTCAGTTTGTCACACAGTAAAACACACACAGACACAGGAACAGTAAAAACTGAGGGTTCCTTGAAAAAAGGAAAGTAGGCTTATGAGGTCACCATGCTCTCTGTATGTCTTTTTCTGTGTCCCTCTCAGGTTTTTAACCAAATGATCGATTTTTATAGGACTTGGAGTAAGCGTTATGCCAGCTGCAAGTCACCCTCCAAGGTCACACGTTTTAATTTCCATTCAATGCACAATAAGAACATATTGGATATGCAAATGTGTGAGGATGGAGCGACTGGCTCATGTAATAATTTAAATCGCGTGACATGTACGAATTGTACTCGACTGTATTCGTATGACCTATACATGAGCCCAGTAAGTTACATTCTTGGATTAGAAACTTACACCACGAAACCGCAACATAAAAATAACAATATTTTTAGGACTAGAAGTCTGAGTTACGAGTGAAATAGTAGGAATACAATTTTTCTTTCAAATTATTATGGAAATCGTGCTTAAATTTAAGATCTATTAACGATGAAACTCTTAACTCATGCCAATGATTTCTCCTTCTAATACGGGCTGTTTATCTCTGGCATTATATTTTATAGTTGTAGTTAAATTTTCCTTCTAACTCTAAAACTTTTGCAGGTGTAAATACGATAATAAACCTTTGCGTCCCATGCAGAGTGGGGCATTGTTAACCATCTGAACGACTATCACCTTCCCAAGGAGGCCTCTGCACCTTGCAGTTAGTTGTAACTATAAAGGATACAAAAACCACATTGAATTCACCGTTTCGTTATCCGATCTTCATGAAAGACTACGTCCTATGGAGGTTTCTTCAAACGTGACAAAATTTTTAAGTCTCGCTTCAATATCATTAATAAAACAAACAAATGACTTCTTAAATTGTCAGTTCTCTGCTTTTATGCATTTACCCACGAAGTCCAACACGCTAAAATTTGTTTTAAAAGTTTTACTTTTTCTGATTTATTGTTGCAATACATAACATGCATGAGCCGGGATAGCTCAGTCGGTATAGTGACTGGCTACGGACTGGGCGACCGGGGTTCGATCCCCGACGGGGGGAGATGATTTTTTTCTCTAGCCTCTGCGTTCAGACCGGCTCTGGGGCCCACCCAGCCTCCTCTACAATGGGTACCGGGGTCCTTTCCCGGGGGTAAAGCCGGCCGGGGCGTGATGCTGACCACTCACCCCCATCTAGTGCCGAGGTCAAGGAAGAGAGGAGCTATACCTCCTCTCACCCCAAGTGCCTACATGGCGCATAGCGGGACAGCTTTACTTTTACTTTACTTTTATACATAACATGCACTTCTAGATAATGGCTAATGACAGTATGTACAGCGTACAACTAGACAAGTGCTTGGAAGCAACAAAAGGAAAATTGTTTTTAATGTTTTCAAAATGTAAAAAAATAACTTTCTTCAGATTGCGAGAAAAAATTCTTAAGCTACTGGCATTTGAAGAGCTTCGTTCTTTGACACAAGGCTTACTCTACCACCAACAGCTGACAACAGCAGAGGGGAATTGCTTTTGGTTGCCTATCGAAACTTCAAATTGCTCTCTACAATGCGTCTGGACTGTCTGCATCAACCCGTTCTACAGCATGTAGCCATAACAGCAAGACATTTTTGTTACTGTTGCGAAGGGTGGACACGATGTCTCCGTGGAGGTGAGCCTCTAACGCGCCCTAGGAGACAGTAGACGGTGCAGTTTGTGATCGCGTCGTTTTTCACTTATTTCTTTTTCTTTGAGTTAATGACATTAAAGCAATAACGTATTTTGTACGGATTAATTTTACGGGATGTTCGCAGTTTTAGTTATTAAAAGAGTTTCACGTTAATTGCTTTCTTACAGCAAAACTGATAAATTAGTTCATTTCAGGATTGTAACCAACGTCCTTGGGTTCTAATTACTTCAAATGCCAACCGCCTTCAATGCCTGTCTGATGGCAGCACAGATTTGATTCATCCACTAATAACGTGACAACAAACTCTGTGACGCTGAGTTTTGAATATTGAACGGGACAAGAATTATCCTCGATATCTGGTGCTACATTACGGTCAAACGAAACACTGGGTACTATAAATCCTTGTAGGTTAGGTTAGTCACTACATGTCTAACATTACTCCCACTCTCCACTTACCATCGTCTGCGAGCTATTCTGCCCTCTTCGAATAATAAGAAACGTATTTGTCAGTGTGAATCAGTAGTTTACTTCTTCCTGTTTCAAATCAAATATCGAAATACTTTGCAGCCTTGTATTCAGTTTTTATTTCAATGTTACAAAGTACAGCCTAAACTAAGGAGGTCGTTTGTTAGTTTTAAAGGATCGCCGCGTAAAAATATTTATAAAAGAGAATCAAATGGCCCTTTTGACAAAAACATTTATAACGGTTATATGGCCATTCTTCTAGAGTTCGCTGGCATTATTTTAGTGGATTAGAACCGAAATACGACGATCAGGAAGCCATGTTACATGATGCGATGCACGCCGTGTCTTAAAGTCTACGATGGTCCAACTAGTGCTGCCACTGCCGTGGGCCTTTAAAGCCAAAGATGTCTTGTGGTCACTGCTGTTTTAAGAAGTACATAAACCTGTACCATTTCAGTAGTCACGAAGTACATCAGCTCATCACACTCCGATTATTACGTGGAATCATGACAACTTCAGTAAACTCAAATTACGGATATTTCTTGCTGCATATATGACTGAAAAAATAAGGGGATTCTTGCCCCCTGTTAAGAGTTATAAAAACAGTATGGATCTTGGTGTTCTTTCACATTTTCAAAATGAACCAGAATGTTTTTGTCATAATTAAATTAAGTATGTTGCACTGATCATAGCTTCAGGTAATCTGTCAAGTGTGATCTTATGGGGTGTAATGCTGGTTTGCTTGTAGGTGGTTATCAATGTTCCGGAGGTATCATTTCCAAAAAATTTGAAACAGCCCTGAAGACTGAGGCCACAGATTCCTCGAAAACAATGATGACCACCTACAAGACTACATGACATTACTACCCAGACGACCGTAATCAACATCTTCGCGTCCACGGGAACCTCGAATCTTTCAGCGATCTTCTTTGTCAGAGGAAGCCATGTCCAGCCACAACAGAAGGTATAAATCCCTCACTACCGTCTCTACTTCGCACCCAGAACCAATCCTTGAGGTGTCCGCTCACAAGTGCTACAACATCTCCCTTTGCAACAGAAAGCGTGTTTCGTCCTTTGCTGTTGTAATCAGATCTGATTACAAGCAGTGTGTGTCTCGTAGTACCTTTACATTTGGCACTTGCTGCAGCCCTGAGGTACAGACGGTCTACACTTCGTTCCCCGCATGCAGACACCGCGTCTCTTTCCCCGCCATAGCGTCCGCGTCTTCCCACATGACTATAGCAACGCCCACGGCCTCCGCATTCTGATCTTGTGCCCTCTCGGATTTTCTCACTGTCTGTACGATTTCCGAGTGGCTGTGGGAAGATATCTGTGTGTGTTTCCCAACATGGCGGTGGTTTGGATGCTCGCTGCGGTGGTGGAAGTATTCCTAATGGAAGACACACAGCGTAACTTACGTAGCCCTCCTCGCCGTGAGGCGTCTGGACGTACAGCCACGCCTGATTCTTAAAGACGGCGTTTACAACCATTCCAAGGGGCAGGGAAAATTCCTCCTGATAACCACCGATGCGCGTCTGATACAGCACGCACGGAAATGCAAGAACCACTGGGATGTTCGCTGGTTTCTCAAGTGACGCCTGAAACATACGTGAATTTTACGTTAGAAAACAACTATTTGTAGGTTTAACTTCAGAGGTTTTGTTCGTTTCGCAGCAGGAAGCCAGGAAACGGAACACCGCGAAGAATGTTTCAGGGTTGTACCCGTGCGCTCTCGAGCACTCTGAAGTGTTTTCTGGCACGCACGCACACCACTGATTCCGCTAGTCAGTCGGCGTACGATGTCGGTATTTGGCGTCAAAATGCGATACTCGCCTCATTAGTCCACTTGTGGATTGTGAGAGGCCTGTTTTCGTTAATAATTTCCCTAATTCCGTATCACATGTTTACTAGTTTTGGTCTAAATATTCAGTGTCTTCAAAACCAGTAATTCCATTTTCCATCGTTGAAAGCCACCGAATGTACCGTTTCTGCTCTTGAATTAAGTCAATCTGCATGGGTGAAAACTGTTGTTTCTGGACATATTTCTTGTTCTAGTAGACAATTAAAACCATGTTGAGAAATGCAG